CAATTACACTGAAAAACTTCTAGTTGAATCACTGGAAATGCTACAACATCTGGTAATATAATCACATTTTAAGCATTCATAAATCGCGCAACAATTCATTCTAATAATCTCTGGCACACGGATAAACTCATACACCAAAACTTTCTCATGAGTACCAAATCATTCTGAAGCTCCAATAATCCAAACCAAATGAAACAAATGAGTAACTGAATAAAGAATGAACCTTGTTTGATTGCACTTTCAGAAACAGATGTTGCTGACGTGCTTTGAAGTGTTACTGTTGCAGCTGCTGCTGTTGCACTCACTGAGTTCGTCGCTTTTTTGCTTCGCTTCTGCGCTTTTGCTGGCATACATACAGCACTCTCTACAGATTCTTTTGATTCCACGACACCTAAAAAACTCACAACTTGGTCTTAGCCGACTGTTGGAAGTAACGTGCCCGATGCCTCTGATGATCAAAGAGTTGTTGAATGATGATAGGAACAGCTTGTCAGCTTTGTTAAAACACATAAATAAATGAGTAGGGACGAAGGAAACGATAGTTTGTCATGACAGAAAGGTATTATATGTTGGTGATGAGTTGTTGTGACTGCTCATCGAATGAATAGATGACGATGGCCAGATCAAACAAAAAAGGATAAAAGTGATGATAACCTGGTGTAATTTCCTGCACTTCATCATCAACAGATTTCGATGTACTTCTTCGGCTAGATGCTCCCACTTTGGCGACACTGAACGGTCCACTTCGAGCTCGACTTCGAGTGACCATCTGCAGATTCTGAGCTGGTTTCACCGTTGCGCTTACCGTTCCCTCGGAATCGTTTGGCGTTTGTTGTCCCATTTCGGCGGATAACGATACTGACAATTTAGCGTTACAATCTGATGATCGTCGACTCTGAATAGAAAAAGATGCAGTCGAATCGCCAACCATGAAAGCCAACGGTTGTTGACGCATTGGGAATTCACTCGCAATGCACACAAGCTGACTGCGGATGCGAGATGAACTATTTCAAGCTAACTAAAAGTTCTCTTTAAAAAATTCTGGTCCTAGAAAATCAGTAATTTGAGAGTGCATTGA